TGCCTTGTTAAAACCTCCTTGACCAAAACCTTTTCTTTTTATGAGAAAAAAGATCATGATAGGAAAGAGTAACACCTCCTTACAATTTCAACTATAATAAAACTTTAAATGTGATGCATTCCAAGTTCTTAGAATCTCTTGTTGAGAGGTATTTGTCCAAAGTCTTTAATCCAAAGTCCCCAATCCTCAAGATAGCAATGGTGGTTTTACCTACAAAAAGAACTTTGATACCTAAGTTAGTGAATGTTCAGAATGTTTAGGTGTATTTTTCAAAGAAAAGTGTACCTTTTGAAGCTCAAAAAAAAAATTCTTTTGAAGAGAATTTTTTTTTACCGAGTTAATCAATAAAAAAAATTGTCTTGGATTAACTTAGTAATTATTATAAAAGTTAATAACCTAATCATAAATAGTTATATACGATTGAATGACATTATAAAAGTATATTTTAATTAATTAAGTTCTTATAATGAAGCAAAAGAAGGAAAACCTCTTACAATATCTCAATCCTTGTACTTTTGCATTACCGGATACTATATAAGAAGAAAAATAGCCACAAGTCCAGAAATAAATATTAAAATCATACAGGTATACAGTCCGTTTGACATACCTGAGCAAACTATATAATATAAAGTATCTTCCAAAGCAATATAATGCAAAACCCCTCTTAATAATCTATCAAAAACATCATAAGAATTACTTCAATAAATGAAGGGCAAGACTAATAATCGAGCTTAATATAGTGACATACCCTTACTAGTACACAATACACATTTTACGTCGGCTATTTTAGGGATTTTTACGTCAGAAAAGCTTCCGACGTAGAAGCGAGAGACGTAAATTTACGTCGAGGCGCGAAAACCGACGTAAATTTATGTCGGACATGCCAAGGTCCGACGTAAAAAAGTCATAAAATTTAAATAAAAAAAAAAAAAAAAAAAACGAGTGCAAGCAGAACGGCCCGTTCTGCTTGGAGAACGGCCCGTTCTGCTTGCAGAACGACCATAAACCCAGGAGCAGGTTCTCCAAATTCGGACTTCATCTTTTAACTGTTCTAGCGCAGAGCTCCTTTCATCTCCTATATCTTCTTCTTAGAGTCCAAGTTTCGACACAAATTTTCGGCCTAACCCAGTTGGATCCGTGGATGTCTCTGCTACTTGCTGACAGTCACTCTTCATCTTCTCCTCTTTTATCTGAGCTTGATTCTGTCGATTACAAAAAAAATCTTGAAACTGGTCATAAACATAACCTCAAATAATCACTCTAAAAATAAGTTTCACCAATCCCTTAGCTAAACAGAAGCAACTTACCTCATAGAAAAACAGATGGACGTATGGAACCAACGCGAAGAAGAAACCTCCGAAGAAGAAAAACAGAAGAAGAAACTTGAGGAGGCTTCAGAGGGATGAGGTGCAGAAGAAGGTGCACAACGCGCGGGAGAAAGAAATTTTTGAAATCTAGCCATGCGCGCACACCTTCTTTTAAGCAGGATGTGGGTTATTTACGTCGGTCCCTTTAAGGTCCAACGTAAATTTTAACATCTACGTCGGACACAATGTATAGTTGACGTAGATGTTAAAATTTACGTCGATCCCTTAAAGGTTCGACGTAAAAATGGGTGACGTAATATCCTAATTTTCCACTAGTGCCTCAATGAGATAAATGCTTCGGTATTAAAATCTTAAAGTGACAATATTAACTTTACAACAATTTACTACTAACAATATTGTTAATTTAACAGAAAACACAAGGAAAAAAGACGAGAAGAAACTTCCAATTCTGGATTTTATGCATATTGCATAGACAAGCCACAGAACATGTGAGTATGTTATAAGTAAAACGAAGGCAGATTTTCTTTTCACTATTAAATTATATTGGACTCCGAACGATCGATTGGGGAAAACAGATGAGTTGAGTTGGATTCACAGGAGAGCTTTGCTACTTACACCTCCTCTTTTTTCTTCTCTGAACACCTTCCTACTTCTTTTTTTGTCTTTATAAATTTTAAATCTATTTCTCTTCACATGCCCTTTTCCCTCTCTGACTTTTATAAATTTTAAATGAATATTCCATTTTTAAAATATAGTCTTTGACTTTTTGACCACTTCAATTCTATACTTAACGACAATTAAGCAACAATATAGATTAATATAAAAAATAAATTATTACATTGACTATTTAAATGAAACTAAAATAGAAAGAGGAGCATATTATGAATACAAAAACATATTTAAATCTAAAACTTATTATGCATTCAAGTTTTGATCTTTTGGCATTGCTGATTCTTTCTATATGTGAGGGGCTCACCATTTTTCTTAAATTTAAAGCAAGGGTTACGTAAATTTATACTTTTATCATTTGTTTCCTTTTTCTGGTTCAGGAAAAGTGATGATGATTGCAGTTGCAAAGAGGAATGTGGAGCATAGAGCATATGGTGATGACCCTTATGGGCCGGGTAATAAGGTTCAGGAGTCTTTCAATATGGGCTGGCAACCTCACTTTTCCATATAAACACACAACAAATATAATTGTCGTCCCAAAAGACAAAATAAATAGTGCCAAAAATGTCACCTCATACTACTAATAAGGAATTTTCACTTTCAAATATATTTATATTACATAATTATTTTAATTTATCACTTTCAAATATATTATTAGTAATATCAGAAATTAATAATTTTAAATTGAAAAAATCAAAATTAAATTTATGTTAAATTTGAGAAATTAAAAATATTTGTTTTTATATTCATATTCAACAGCATGTAAGTTGCAAACATTTAAAAATGTAGGAACACTGAAAAAGCTCTTAAGATTTCACTATTTCAGGGTGGGCGCCTGACAACAATTGTGGTCTTCAATTCCCGGTGATTGCCTTTTTTGTGTACCATTCTACTCCCTCTTTCCTTTTCTTTTCTATATTATATAATATTTTTGTTCAAGTCCTACTATGTGTTTCGTATTTATGCGATTCTGCCTCCATGATCTTGGTCTTCATAAGCGAAAACAAGAAAGTCATACTTTGTATTAAAGATTTCATGAATGAACTGTTGGAGCAAAGAAGGGAGAAAAAGTGGGAAATGGCGTAAGAAAGGAGACAAAACTCCTGCAACACATTATGGGCGCCTTCGACCTTCCCAAGACTAACAACCTAACAAAGCTTTTCATTAATTTTCTTGCCATTGCAAACTCAACTGGATTCTTTCTCCTGCACCCATCCACGTGCACACTACAATACTGCTACCACTCCAATTACCCCAATATGTAAAAATAATAACATTTTTATTCTTTCAACTTGGATACTCCACCGTTTTTTCCTTCCACATTCATTCCCTTTCCCTTTCTTAAATTTTAAAAAACCTCACCAGTCACCACTCAAAAGTTAGAAGAAAAAAAAGTTATGATATGATCATGATAGGAATAAAATGTTTCCAATTCATAGCGTGCAATATATGTAAACTTCTTGTACACCAACTAAAATATTGATATCGACCGACATTGTCCTCCTCTGTTTCTCCTTTTCTTATCCAGGTCGATTTATTCATATAATTGAGGTTGAAAAGGACATGCAAAACAAAACAATGTTTTCCTCTTTTTATTTTATTTTTCTTATGATATGAGATATCCACCACTATGGCTGGCTCTGGGTTTGAAATGAGTTATGATCTGAGCCAGAAGCTCTGTCCTAGATCCGAACCTCACTTGTAAGCGAAGCTACTCTCAACCAACAAGCACTTTTATAAATATCTAAATTAAAATTGGACAATATTTTATTGAGATTTAACCTATGCTTTCTTCATCTGTAATTTCAGTTGGACCGGACTCCACTTTGTTTTCATGTCTCTGATTTTTCAATCAACTCCCTGTGAATAATGTGTGTGATATACTCAAGCTAGTTCGGTTGTTAAGTTAACAGCTTAACCAAGAGTAAAAACCATCCAGCAACTAATGCATGAATAATAAAATATCTTAACAATGATTTAACTCCTTAAAATATTGGTAGCAAATTACCAATTTCGGCAATAATTATTTGAGTAAAATGTTAATTATATAACAAATATAATAAATTCCGATCTAAGTTATCCACTTATCATGGCAATTAGTACATTTGATGAAATAGTACTAGAGTAACAAAGCCAAATATTTTCTTAATAATTTTTATATTTGGCAGAGGGTGAAATCAGCAAATTAACAACGCCTACCGATTATTAGTTATTTGGGTGATGAATGCCGTTTCTTTATTCTGGCCAAAGCTTCTTTTGCTTCTAAACAGGATATAACAAGAATTTTTGGACCACCTAATCATTTTATTACTAGCCAAGATAAGTTATGCTTGCCAGATAAACATTTGAAAATGTTTTCATCAAAAATAAAGAAAGTCAATCTCATGCACCCTAACTTTACACATTTGTCCTAATTATGAATGTCTAACGAGTAGGACCAACCATAATCGAGGAATAGCATCACCAACACCCATCCATACATTGGACTCATATAATTAAACATAACAGCGATCGCCAATCCTTAGTACAAATATATATATATATATACACATTACTAGTAAAGACGCCCAAATGTTTTTAATTATTCGTTACAAATGACTCTGATCAAAAGTATCATAAATATATCAATAAGTATAACATCAAATAAAAAAGCTATAAAACAAATATTATAAACATACCCTTTCTCAGAAAAAAAATAATGATACATTCAAAATAGTATATATTAAACTTAAATTTAAATTTTCACATGGCATCTAACCTTATTTTAACGGTTGTTATTATAGTATACTCGGGTTTCAAAAGCGGCAGAGAGGAGGTGGATTATCTGGGGTGTTAATTTGATAATTGGCATAGAGAACTATTTTTTGTTAGTGAGCAACTTTTATTGAAATCTCACCAGCCAAGTTGTTTGATTTGGCAAGTAAAAGTAAAAAAAAAAGAATGAAAAATGGAATGAGTGATATAGCCAGCTACGGCTATATCCATAAGAACATATGTCCCCTCACCTATATATATGATATATCATTTGATCCCTCCCACAAGTTGTGAAATTAAGGCAGGCATTGCAACGCGTACATTAGACATTAATATTTCTGATGGGTTCCAGCTTCTCAGCCCTCCCCACTATGTGTATGTTGGTCCTAGTCCTCCTCTTGTGGGGTGGCGAGGGACGTGAGCCATTCGCGTGTGACCCAAAGGACGGTGGCACAAAGGGGTTACCCTTTTGTAGGAGTGGGTTGGCAATAGAAGCAAGAGTGAAGGACCTGGTTGGAAGGTTGAGACTGCAAGAAAAGGTTAACCTTCTAGTGAACAATGCCGCAGCAGTTCCGAGGCTTGGAATCAAAGGTTACGAGTGGTGGTCGGAGGCACTTCATGGGGTTTCCAATGTGGGCCCCGGAACCAAGTTTCGTGGCCAATTCCCTGCCGCCACTAGCTTCCCTCAAGTCATCACCACCGCTGCTTCTTTCAATGCTTCTCTCTGGGAAGCAATCGGACGGGTCAGATTTCATTTCTTTTTAACCATTTACCAATCACTACCACATCTATATGATATACTTTACATCATTTCACTTTTCAATTTCTCATAACATATTCCTATTCCTATTAAACTCAATACTCACAAAATTGCATATGGACCAGACAAACATTATTTATGACCTACCTGAATGGAATACTTCATTACTAATTACAATAATTAATAATGTTCTTTCAATTATCAATGCATTTTAAATTACTTTTCTATAAAATTTAATGTTTAAGTAAACTTTTTAGTTTTACATTCTAATATTTTTTAAATATATTTAATTTTGTAATTAAGTTTTAAATTTTTTTTATATATTTTAAATTTATCTATTTAGCCATAAACAAAAATTTTCGTAGCCTATCTTTTGAGTTCAGCCTGCATTAGCATTATATCATATAACTCATAATATAATTGTTTTTTTCAGGAATAATTTATTTTTAAGAACAATAAAAAAAATTCATTTTTCCAAAGCCTTGAAGCATCTTACTTTTATTTCAGTTCCTTTCACATTTTTATATAAAAATCTAAAAAAAATGTTTTCCTAATGCTTTATTTTTTATCAATTATTTTATCTTTTACTTTTCTTTTATTTCTCTCCGCACAATCAGAGATAATAGCATTAAAAAATAATAATAATAAATAAAATATATTTTTAGTTGTTCTAAAAATTTTCAAGTTTGATTTTAGTTCTTCTAAATTTTTTGTCCTACTTTAATCCTCTAATTTTGAAATATATATACTACTTTTAAGTTTAAATAATATTTTATAATTATTTTTAGATATTATCTAATGTATTTTAAAAGTCAATAAATTCATTATATATAATAGTTTGTGATTAGAAGGCAACATAAAATTAATACGTGCATAATTTTTTGACTAAATTATTCATTTATTTAGTCCCTTTATTTAGTTTTTGGTTCCAATTTAATTCTAGTATTTTTAAATAAATTAATTTAGTCTCATTTTTATTTAATTAATGTAAACTTTTGATTTTCCTTAGTCTTGTTTAAATAATTAATTGTAGATGCCTCATTGCATTGTTTTTTTTATAATTAGCTTTTAGTTTCTAAGTGAGACTAAACTGACTTTTAGTTTTAGTCTCAACTTTGTGTTCGAGTTCAAAATCCTTAAAACCTTCTTCATAGTCATTTTCATCCATTGCGTTGAGGGACTAAAATATGACAAATAAAATTTAATAATTTTAGAAGGACTTAAAAAAAATATTATTCTCAAAATATAAATAGCAAGAGTAGCAGTATTATCACTGCATATATGTACAGTATGCATTGGAGGTTTTTGTCCGACATAGATTTAATTCTTCGTCTTGACTTTTATGATCAGCAAGAATCTTACGCAAACCAATGACTCCAAAATAATACTTCTAATCTACACCAAAATAAGTAAACGACCTATTGAAAAGGGCATTACTTTCTTTACTTTAATGCTTCCTTGCCGTAGCACTTGGTTTGAAACTTTGAATAAAATTTCATAAATGAAAGCGACCTATATCAAGAACGGAAAAATGATTCATTTTGATGTAAAACTAAATATTTTTTCTAAATAGAATAATTTTAACAACTGAAACTTGTAAATTTTTAAGAAATACTAACTTTATTTCGAAGGTAAATTGGTAACATTTTTAAGCGAATATACTTATCAAGAAAATAAATAAGAATATATATATTTTTAAAGTAAAAACATTTATCATCTGCCTGCGACGTCACAGAAGAGCAATTCTTTAAACACTGTTAGCTTTGTATATTTTCTATATTCATGTTTAGAAGAAAAAAATAGTTTATTATAAATAATGGTTTTTTTTTCACAAAAAGAGGCATGAAAAATAGGTAATTATTATTTTTTTGAACAAGTTAAAGTAATCCATTGACTTGGATTAGATGATGTTGCATCCCAGAAAAAAGTAAGTGGTTAACCTCTCAAGTTGCAAGTCACTAACTAATAACTATGCGTGCAAGTGTGTCCCCCTTTCCTAGCCACTTGCAAAATGGCAATGACTTAATATTACCCTACAAACCCTTTAAGCACATGTTTGATACAATTTCAGAAACATTTTTAATTTTTTTAAAAAATATTAAACCTTAATAGAAGAAAATAGGTGTCTAACATATAAGGAATGCGCATGCAGGTTGCATCGGACGAAGCAAGAGCAATGTACAATGGAGGAACGGCTGGGCTGACATACTGGAGCCCAAACGTTAACATTTTTAGGGACCCACGGTGGGGCCGCGGACAGGAGACTCCCGGTGAGGACCCAATACTAGCCGGTAAATACGCTGCTAGTTACGTCAGGGGACTACAGGGAACGGACGGTGACCGGTTGAAGGTGGCTGCCTCTTGCAAACACTTTACGGCTTATGACCTTGACAATTGGAACGGTGTGGATCGCTTTCACTTTAATGCACAGGTTTGTATATATATATATATATATGCCTTATTTAATCAATGCTTTCTGGACCAACATGATTCTACCATGTATAGGCATTTATTTATGTATATCCTCATTTTTTATTCTTTCCTCACTTTCAATATACTCCTATGAATACCTTTTGTAATTGTCTTTATTACTTATTTTTTAGTAGGAGCTTAGTTTGAGGTTGATGCGCAGGTTAGCAAGCAGGACATGGAGGAGACGTTTAACGTGCCATTCAGGATGTGTGTGAAGGAAGGGAAAGTGGCGAGTGTGATGTGTTCTTACAATCAGGTTAACGGTGTTCCTACCTGTGCGGACCCCAACCTCCTCAAGAGAACTGTTCGTGCCCAATGGGGTCTTAATGGGTAAGCTTACAACTTACAAACAATACTATAAGCCCATAATTTAGTGGCCTTCATGGGCCTTCATTCATTTGCTTTGCTGTGGTTCAGGTACATTGTATCAGACTGTGACTCTGTTGGGGTGTTTTACACTAGCCAACATTACACATCTACGCCAGAAGAAGCTGCTGCCGATGCCATTAAAGCAGGCTAGTTTCTAATACTATTCATTTCTTGGATCATTATCAAGAAAAATATGTGGAATATTATGAATAGTCGGAGAAAAAGAAAAGGCCTAATATTTGATCATGTTGCAGGTTTGGATTTGGATTGTGGGCCTTTTCTAGGAGCGCATACGCAGAATGCTGTGAAAAAAGGCCTTTTAAGCGAAGCTGATGTCAATGGGGCTTTAGCCAACACGTTAACAGTCCAAATGAGGCTAGGGATGTATGACGGTGAGCCATCAGGCCATCCATATGGCAACCTTGGCCCAAGAGATGTGTGCAGCCCAAGTCACCAAGAGCTAGCCCTAGAAGCCGCAAGACAAGGGATTGTGCTTCTTAAAAACAAGGGTCCTTCTTTGCCTCTCTCCACGAGGCGTCACCGCACCGTGGCCGTTATTGGGCCCAATTCTAATGTCACTGTCACAATGATCGGCAACTATGCTGGTATTGCTTGTGGATACACAAGCCCCTTACAAGGAATAGGTGCACACGCCAGGACTATTCACGAGCTCGGTTGTGCAAATGTGGCTTGCACTGATGACAAGCAATTCGGGAGAGCTATAAATGCAGCCCAACAAGCAGATGCAACGGTGCTAGTAACGGGCCTGGACCAATCCATTGAGGCTGAAACCGTGGACAGGGCTGGCCTCCTTCTTCCCGGGCGTCAACAAGAGCTTGTGTCCAAAGTAGCAGCTGCCTCAAAGGGCCCAACAATTTTGGTCATAATGTCTGGTGGGCCGGTAGATATAACTTTTGCAAAGAACGACCCTCGAATCCAAGCCATCTTGTGGGCCGGTTATCCCGGTCAAGCCGGTGGCGCCGCCATTGCAGATATCTTGTTCGGAAACGCTAACCCAGGTTTGTAGGCCCAAATAAACTATAATGAAATTCATAACATTACATCAAGTCACAACATAACATTATGTTATATTTTAATTTCAGGAGGCAAGCTACCTATGACATGGTACCCAGAAGGTTACATTAAAAATTTGGCAATGACAAATATGGCAATGCGAGGAAGGCGTTCCACAGGGTACCCTGGAAGAACGTACCGATTCTACAATGGGCCAGTGGTGTATCCATTTGGTTACGGATTGTCTTACACACACTTTGTTCATACACTAGCTAGTGCACCCAAAGTGGTTTCAATTCCCGTGGATGGCCACCGCCACGGCAACAGCTCCAACATTGCGAATAAGGCAATTAGAGTGACACATGCACGATGTGGCAAGCTTTCCATTAGCCTCCACGTGGACGTTAAAAACGTTGGAACCAGAGATGGCACTCACACGTTGTTGGTGTTCTCAGCACCACCTGCGGGTAATGGCCACTGGGCCCCACGCAAGCAACTAGTGGCTTTTGAGAAAGTCCACGTTCCTGCCAAGGGTCAACAGCGAGTGCGAGTCAACGTTCATGTTTGTAAGCTCTTGAGCGTGGTGGACAGGTCTGGGACTAGGAGAATTCCAATGGGGTTGCATAGCATTCACATTGGTCATGTTAAACACTTCGTGTCTCTTCAGGCAGAAACACTTGGAATTATCAAGTCCTGAATTTTGGGGGCCAGATCTACCTCTACGTAAGTGTATGATAAATAGATAGATAGATTAAGATCAAGTTTTTAGCTCTATACTCAGTACTTACTACATCGTGCTTTGGTTCTAACTTCTAAGGAACCATCAATTCAAACTGTGAATTAGGACATGCTAGATTCATTCATCAGCAAAAGGGTTGGTTGCGACTTGCGATTCTTGGAGAAGAGATTTATAAAGGAAATCTATTCTTCTCTCTCCGATTGCGTTCTACTTTGTTTACCATTCTTTAAGTCTCCATTTTTACTAATACAGAGTTTTAGTGTATCCTTTGTAATGTAATTGTGAGATTTGTAATAAGAATGTGCTTTACATAATTACACCATGATGTGCAGCATTTTTACCTACATTTTTAGTATTGTTTTGCATGTTTTTATATATGGACACTTCCTGCCAGTGCCTTTGCTTTTCTTTGGAGACTCGTCAGGGATGTCAATGCCTCGATCTGTTCTGATATAGTTTTGTTTCTTTTGGGCCCCTTCCCCTTCGCCCTCCTTGTGACGAAAAGAAATATATATGTAATGGACACATTAATGAATTTTAATAAACTAAAAATACAAAGTTATGATATGTTGATAACATGTAATGTAATAATTATGAAGAGATAAAGAAACATGTACCACCCGAAAAATACAAATTGATATTTAATATAACACTTTCTTTTGCACTTAAATTCTTAATGATGTTACGTTACCCTTTCCTCAGATTAAATGTTAGTATAGTATAATTTATTTATTTTATTTTAATAATGAATTCGACAAAATTTTGAGTCTCTTCTTATGAATTGAATGCTAGAACACCATAATCTCCTATTGGTTTGAACATTTTTCTAGACAGATTTTAATGTGACACTCATGTTAATTATATATATATAAATTACTGTGTTTGGATAATACCCAACTATCCAATAATCAATTCTCTCCTCAAAATCATGGTGATCTAAAAAAAAGTAAATAAAAAAATTGTTTGTTGTTTTACTTTTATCATGAAAAAAAAAACAAATTACTAAGAAGTCAATCCAAATACACTAATAAACTCTTAGCAGTTGGCAAAGTACAAATTGTACTTCTTTTGATGACAAATTTAACAAAATGGCGTCCCATGGTGCGATTGGAATGCAAGAGAGCAGAAAAGCATATTGCTCGAGGGAAAATAATATACTTGGCTACATGTAAAATATATTTAAAAAAAAAAAAAAAAGAGAAGACGTGAGGGAAATTACGTACATGAATTATTTAATAGCTCACTATTTTTTACAAATTGGGAAGGAATAACCATTAACCAGAACGCAACTTGGCTTGGTACAAGGTGAGCCTTCATTTAGATTTTAGAGATGGAGAACAACTTTTAAGGCAATCATGTGACATGTAAACCAATAATGATTCAAATTGATGACAGAAGCTGGCATGTGTATTGCGTAGGGCAACAAAAGCTCAGTCGGAAAAAGACAATAAAAAGAAAGAGTTCGATAATCGAAATGGCCTTGATGTTGACATTTTACATATAGGTAATATACGAAGCCAACAAAAACCAAACACTAAAGCATTTAATTCAAGTTCCCATGTTCCGAGAATATGGACTCACAAATTCCACGCTTTCATTGGTATTATTCGGCTGGAATAAAGGACTTCCACTCTTCTAAGATGGTCTCCATCTATAACAATACATGCAATGAAATAAAAAATAAAATAAAAAAAGAAATTTAGTAGAAAATAAAATTAACCATATCAGTATATAGTCACATATTCAAATTAAATTTGCAGGTTTGTAGCTGATACAAAAACTTTGCTCGTTTTCATTACTGACTGCAAACAATAGTATTTCTATATGTCAATATAACATAAAACATGTTTAGTTTTCCATTTCAATATTTTAAAATAGATTTTTACACATTTTGATATTTCAAATAACAAAGTAACTATATTTATAGATCAGAAAAAACGTGAGTTATATATGTTAACTTAACATTTTTTCGAACACACAAATAATATGGTATCAATAACCAACAACAATTTTTTTTATTTTTATACTTTGTGAAAGTAGTACTTGTCTTTATTGAGTTGCAAGTGCATGAATAACGTTGATCGGCCAGCAAAATGTTACTCAAACATAAACATTCTAAAACGAATGCTTGACTTTGAACTCAAGTTTCTACTTTAACAATTATACTTCAAGTTTTATCAAAAAATTGGTAAGAGGTGATAGCTTTAAGAGGGGATTGGTTTTGGGGGAATATATTTCTTCCAGCAGATAAAAGGTATAAAACAGAGAATAGAACAAGCAAACTAGCTTCTTGAGAAGAGTTTTCTTTTTCCATTCCACAACTAGTAATTATTCAAAGGACTACTTTAGCAAAGGCTGTGGGGCGTTCAAAACAATCGAGAAAAAAAGAAGAAAAAAAAAAAAGAGGCATTGCATATTTTCATGTCCACTTTTTTACTTCTATTTCTTAATATGTTTCCAATTATTAGGGAGAGCTCTATGTTAAGTACCTACCCCTGGAAGAGGTAAGGGTGATAAGTGATAACATATTTTTGATACAGCCTTTGGGTGTTGAATTCAGTGGTCCTAGCTAAAAGGCTTTTATTTTTGGTGCAGCTAATTAAAAGCGATAACACCTAAGATTGCCAAGGATGACTCTACATAGTAAACAAAATTGTAAACTTGTTTGCTGAATCACTGATGATGAGGACCAGGCCTAAGAATTGTCAAATGTCAACACTCGAAAAATGAGTTTGAATCGACCCACTAGCCAGTCCTGCCATCAACCATCTTCAATTTTGACTTTATATCATCTGGCCCTTTCAAGACAATATTTGATAGCATTCACACCTTATGAAAAATTGGATCCATAAAATATTGTACTATACTCATTCTGCGCCTGTATGGTGCGTTCTTTTGGATTTTGTAGTAAATTTCAACTTAATTTCTGACATGTGGTTAGCTTTAATTATCAGTGTGGTCTGACTTCTGAGATCACCTTTCAGATTTCGCTTGCTAACTTCTCATTTCTTTTTATTCTATTTTTAAAACCTTTATTACACAAGTGTCATTCTTGTTGATACCAGTAGTATAATCCTCGTGTCAAAAACCTTATTAGTATGATAGAAGAATCCACCTCTATCTCTAGGAGCCACCTGTCATTTTTTGTGGGCTGATCTAAGTCTTCAAATTCAACCGTTTTTTATGATTCATCATGGTTTGCAACTTAAATAATTTTATATGGATATTATTCTCCTTCCTTCATCATGGTTTTTAGACTTAATAGCCAGATCAAGTTTATTATAATGTTTAGCTGACAGATTCAGAAGCAAATTAACCTACACACATATAGCGCACAATGCTTTTATTTAAAAAGACTAAATGATTAGTAAGAGATAAACAAAGAAATAAATAAATAAAGCAGCTGGAGCATGGTGTGTGAATCTAGAATTTGAATTTGAATTTGGGGAGTATGATGCATTATTGGGAAAGCTTTTGAGCTAAGCAGCAGAGTGAGGAAATCACACCCTCAATAAGCTGGCGTTGTTGGCCATAAACACATTGAATTCGAAGCTACACATGCATAGCATAGCACTATGTATATGTTAGTGTATTATTATTATTATTATTATTACTGTTGGCTCGCAAAGCGAAAGCTACACATGGGTCACCATCTCCACGTGAAATTCCATCAACAAGACACGTGCATCCCACAGAGGTTCCCTGAGCTTTTGCAGAGAAGCCTTTGGAAAGATAACCACATTGGCTAACCCATCTGAAGAATACGAGGCAAATGATGAAATGGCTGCAGATAAGATAAGGCTCAACGTCATACTTTTACTAATCATCAACTAGCACTACCATAGGTTAAGGATATCTTTAAGGCTTTGGTACAATTATAAATATAAATAGAGAGAGAGAGAGAGAATTTTTTAAAAGATCTGGCTTTTTTATTATTATTATTACTCAGTTGTGTAGTCGTTATTGTATATAAAAAATATATAAAAAAATTTAAAAAAAATGTCTAGTTCAGTTGATTGATTATGTTGAGTAAGTGTTGTAAATCTTATAAATTAAATTTGACTCTCAAATTTAAAAAAAAAAAAAAAAAAAAAAAGATTTGATTATAAATCAGACTAGAGAATGTACATTTTGCTGCCAAAGGAATTGTAGAAATGGTAGTGCTGAAATTGCTTTTAGCATTAAATAGTTAATGCATTTTGGGAGTGTTTACATTTTTAAAAGAACAAAGCTTTCGTAAAAAGAGTAAGTGATGTATTGTTCCATAGGAAATAGAGCAAGATGCAGAGGAAAAACCTTATCCAAGAATGGTAGTTTAAGAGAATCTTTAGTGATGTGCGTCACACTTTGCCTCCTTGAATACAAACATGTCTTAGAGAATGGAAAGCGATTCCCACAAATTTTGAATTTTTAATCTTCGAGTTATTTGTTTAATCAATATTTAAATTTGCAATTACTAAGATTGCCAACTGAGGCTGCAATCCCTTCAATGATTATATTTATATATAAAGGATCTTATTGTATAAGGATATAAGCAATTATTATGGCCACCCTGTAAAAAGTGGGAACTTTGTGGGAATCCTAAGTTTTCTGATTTTGATTTTATAACAAATTTGTAGGACTTTAACTACCTATATTCTAAATTAGATTCTAGAATATTGTTTGGGTTTCAGCTAATGGGCCGTTCTTCTGGTGTAGCTCATAATTAAGTAGTTCTGTTTAATTTGTTTTCTCTAATCAGCAAGAAGAATGTTTGGCGGCCATTGATAGAATTACACATAAATTAAGTCTGTCCTCCTTGCACCAATAATGAGTGTTTCTTAAAATTATAATGAAATGCAGTTAGGCATTTAACTCATCCATATTAGCATACCCATCAATCACAAATTCTTTACTTTAACATAAATATACAGTTACAACCCATTTTTTCTTAATTAATATATGGAAAAATTAAAAGGGGAAATTATTAATCATCTGTTATATAATAGTTTTTAGGTAAGTGATATATATTTAATTATCAACTACCAAGCGATTCAATTATAGGAACAAGAATAAAAATAGGTGTGAATAAGTAAGAGGCATACAACGACGTATATAAGAATCTAAATTTTCATGTTACTTGTTTGTTAGAACTAGGAATCTAGGATGATTGAGATGAGATGAGATGGGATGGGTAGTTAATTAGTCATCTGTTTTATTCGTTAAAAATATGCTTCATAGTTCATACTCGTTCGGATATTTGGCAAGTGACTATTCATAAATTTTACAAACGGGTATCAATAAATATTTATTAAATATTATATAAATTTTAAAATATAATTAAAAATAAATCCATTAATA